GGTGTGCAGTTAACGGGTAAAAGAAACTACAGAAAACACCTGCTTAGAGTGCATGGAGTTGAAGCAAAAAAAAATGTCTCGCACTATTTGCAGTGAATGTCGAGAGTCTTTCGAAACACTGGGATTTGCGCGAGAACACATTGCCACGGAACATATAATCGAGATAGAAAAGCATTGTGTGTTCTGTAAAACCCTTTACACCTCCTACCAAGCTTACTAAACGCATATGCAACAGGAACATGGGCTGCAAACGTGCGAGCCTAAAGTCAGCAATAAAATCAAAGGTGCAATCTCTGCTACACTCCAATAGAGCGCTTCTGGCGGAAAGTTGAAAAAGTTTGAACTTGTGATCGGAAAAGGAGAAGTAGACATGCTTAGCCTAAAAATGAATGAGAAGGAAGCAGTTAACCAGCTGATTTCTGATCATGTTCAGAATGTACCTCACAAGTTTCAGCTACGAGGCGTCTCGTGAAGTTTGTGGAGGAAGACGACCAGTCTCATAAGACTACAATATTTGTCAAATCAGCCTTGTATAGTTTGTACTTTGGAGGGGTAAGCGGTTAAACCATTAGCGAAATGGTAGACCAATTGATTAACAATGTTTGGTTCTCAGAGGAGCGGATTTGTGATAGATGAAATCAGTAGATCAGCAGAGTCAACATTTGTGTAGCAAAACTATCCCCAATCAGAGCAGAATCGCATATCCCGCTACCACCGAAATTGAAGTAGCAACAGAGAAATGTGATAAATGTCCTAAACATATCAGATCATAACTGTTTCCTGTATTGCAACTACGCAGCATGTCACTACCAACCCGAAAAGCCTCCACTATAAGAGCCGGAACAACGATGGTGGAAAAAGGCACAGATCAGCACATACGATCGAAAGTACAACTGAATCTGGTGGAGATCAACGGTGACCACCAGCTGTCTATGAGTTTGTTCACCATTTAGCGGTTTGAGCGGCTCAAAAAGGTACAAATCAACGTTTTCCGGTAGGAAAAATTGATGAAAAATCTTTTGATAAAAAAAAAACATATACGTTGTCCACAATGCTTTATACGAAATTAAGCAGAATCCAAAAAAATAATTAGTTTTCGGATAACCTAAATTAGTGATTTAGATATGAAGATAACGAGCTAACACCCGTTCATGTGTCTAAAAGATCAGACTGTAACTTTACGGTAGACCTCCTGTTGTTGGTAAACAGTGACGACAACTACCACTATGTCCTCATCGAAGGACTCTGTAAGATGATGATGTTTGTGCAAAAACAGCCAAGCCGCGAACCAAACGAAGTATGTTGAAAATGTGATCATATTTGCACGTCAAGCTAAATCATGAAAAATCATCAAGAATTGTATTACAAAACGGAAAGACTATCTATAAAGATGCCAAAATCCAATAAAAACCAAACAATTCAAGAACCTAATGGCAAGATGATTTGCGCCGCGCGTAACCTATTTCGATCGTGAGTCAATAAATGTCCCTGTTCCGGGACCTACTCGCAATCCAGCTTCTTCTTACGTTTAATTAAACAGTGGAAATTCATAAACCATGCAGCTATTGACTAGTTGTAGTTGAGCATGGCAACTCATTTCCAATCAAGTACGAAATTGGTAGAGGACCAGACACTATGAGGAAGGTGATAAAATCATTGGAATCATTAGCGAGGGAGATTTGCAATGACAAACGTAAATACTTCACTTTGTACGACAACTCGAATTTCCGAGAGAAGCGGCAGACACTTGTTGGATTTGTGAGGAACAATTCGCTGAAGAATCCATAATGGTAGTCAACCAGTGCCACGTTACTAAGAAATTTCTAGGTTGGGCGCATCAGGAATGTAATCTAGCAAGGAAAATGCCTAAGTTCACTCAGGTAATAGTTCACATTTTGTCTAACTACGACATCCATAATATTGTAAGAGACCTTCACAATAGGAACATATTTCAATAGCCCTTCCACTGAAAATTAAATCTCACTGACTAGGTCGGTTTGGGTAAAAGAAATTGAGGACAAACACGGGAAAAATATGACAAACACAAATTTATGAGATCTTTCGCTTCATAGACTCATACAAGTGTATGCCCTCTTCATTGAGTCAGCTAACTGAAAATTTGTCATCCGTTGGATTTCAGCTGATGAAAACAAAAATTGCATCAATGGGTTACTCACAAAAGCAAATAGATCTCCTCAAACAAAAGGGCTACTACCAGTATTCATACGTGAACAGCTTCAAGAAATTTAAAGAAACAAAATTGCCGGCAAGAAGATTGTGGATAAACAGTTTACAAGGGGCAGAAGTCAGCGGTGGCAAACTGGAATACAGCTATGCGATGAAAGTATTATAACAGCTACGGTGCAAAAACGTAGGAGATTACCATGACATCTATTTAGCCTCAGATGTTTTCCTTTTAGCTTGTGTATTTGAGAAGTTAAGATCTGTTTGTTACGAAACGTATAGACTGGACTGCCCCCTTCACTAAACCGCGAGCAATCTTGCAGGCGACGCGTTTTTGAAAATGTGCAGGACGGATTTTAGACCATTAACAGAACAAGTGCACCTGGATAAAACCCAAATTTTGATCCGTGATGGCATGTCATCCGTATATGTCAAGAAGTATTGGAAAGCGAACAACAAGTACACAAGCTCGTTTGAACCCAATGAAGAATCAAGCTTCATAATTAAGATTGATGCGAATAACTTTTACGGGGGAATCATGGAGAATTATCCACCACCACTAAAAGATTTTGTCCTAGTTGAAAAAACTTGATGATGACTAGCCCGGATTCTAAATTGGGATACGTTGTGGAAGGAGATCTCAAAACACCCGAAGATTTGCATTCAAAACACCTGAAGATTTGATACTTTCAAGATTTTCAAATCGCGCCTACCATAGAAGTAGTAACAATGGATATGCTCAGCACGGATCAAATCGAAATGGCTGCCCAACCGAACGTCAAAACACTTCTCAAAATACTAAAGCTGATGCAGACCTTTAACCCCAAGCTAAGAATGTTCTCCACTACTTGACCCCGATTTTATATTATCAACTAGGCATAGATTTAAGCAAGCAAAATGGTTGGCTCCTTTTGTTCAGCTCAATACCGAACTCAGAAAAAACGCAGAAATCAAGTTCCAGCAGGTAACCTCTGCGTTCGGAAAGTTCATGGAGTCTATGCTGAATAGGAAGAATGTTGAAATTGTAACAACCGAAAGGGAGCTTCTAGAAAAAAAAAACATCTAAGAGCAATATGAATAATCGATATCGTTTAAATTGCCACAATATTATTAGAGGTTTCAAGAGTAAAGTGGACTAAACCAACCTTGGTGTGGGGAATAATTTTGGACCTCGCAAAAAATTATATGTTTGAGTTTCAATACACAAAATGAAACCAAGCCTCCAATTAGAACTAAAATACGGCGATACCGATAGCTTCATATATGCCGTGAAAACCAAAAACATTTATGGAGACTTCAAATTTTTTCAACCAGACTTCGACTTTTCCAACTACCCCTTCAGATCCCCTGCTGTATAGTGATGAAAACAAAAAGTCATTTTGAAAATGAAAGACAATATGGTAGGGAAATTTTGGAGGAATTTGTAGCCCTGAATTCAAAACTCTACCTCATACTGGACAAAGGTGAGTTGATTCCTTGTTAAGTGTAATGTTTTCTTATCTAGCTCCAGTTTTTTTCTTTAGAAAAAAAGATTTATTTTTTGTGAAGCTCTCGAAAAAACACCCAAATACTTTCCTCAGCCAATATAATACTTGACTACTCAATACTGGACAAGGTTCAAATGATTGGTTTTAAATGAAATAGTTTTTTGTCTAGTTCCCGCTTTGAAAGATTTGTTTTATGAATCTCACGCAAGAAAAAAAAACAATCGAATACTTTCAGTAACCACTATTAATAATTTTAGATCTGAATCAAAAAGTTTCGGCGAAAGGAATTACAATGTTCGCGCAAAGAAAACTACTTCATGCCCAATCAAAGAATGGCGGTTCGATAAAAAGACGCTGCATGTGAATAATTATACGACAAAATCGAAAAAACATGAGATACAGACTGCTATAAATAACAAAATAGCACTCTAACCCTTCGATAGGAAACGTTTCCTTCTCTTCGATGCGGTCTCAGCTCTTACTTTCGTTCAATGCAAGATTTCCGAAAATAGTTTCTTCTTTGAGGTTATAGATAACAGTTTAAAGGAAATTGAAAGTGAAGTAAGCACTCAATCTTCCTTTTGTCAATTGAGAAAAGCATGCTCAATTTTATAATACCGGTTCAAGGCTTTTACCAGCCTCAGTACAGTCATGAGAGCATGTACGTCAAATGACTCTCGAGGACAGCGCGCATACTCAAAGAACCCTTTTCTAATATATGAAGCTACTGAAAGTAGAACTGTTGAAGAAAGTCACTCTAGTGATATTAATTCGTCCCCGGAAATAATGTGCAAATGAAGAAAATTTTCAAATAAAAAAGACTGATTACCATTGCAAAACTGCTTGGCTACTTTTAATTCAAGCTTGTTGGCATTTTTTAAAATTATTTGTACTTTATATGGTTAACCTCTCTCTTTAACAGCTAATTTGAAGTGTTTGTAATAAGGTGATTGGAAAATAATGAAAAGAAATTCCCTCTAACATTTGAATACCATTAAAGATTTATATTACTACCTTTGTTATACATTACAACAGCAGAGACTTATTATAATATAGTCATTTTATAGCACTTAGGCTATAAATACATGTGGTTTTCGTTTCCTATTTGGAGTGCCCCTAGGGTTTGAATATTTGTTTGTAGCCCCTATGTGGTTTTCGACTTAGAGTCTGGAGCACCGAGAAATTGTGTCTGGAGCGCCTATGTGGTTTTGGGATAAGGCTCTGGAGCACCCCTGTGTAGGTACCCCCTGTTGGAGCGCCGGCGATTTAGCCTAATACTTTTGATGCCTAGTTTTGATGACCAATTTCTTATGTCTCTGTTTTTACTAGGGCGCTGAATTGGATCCAAATCACACCCACTTTATCCTGTGTGACGATGGAAGCAGAAATCAGTTTGGAAAGGAGCAAAAACTTAGAGGAAAGTTTGAGAAGGCACTCAGCAATATTGGAAAAGGCGGCCAATTCACGTTCGCTGGTAATTTTATTTACAGTGTAATAAGCCTCACACAGCCATTCTCAACTTTTTGTTAATTTGAGTTTTTTTTTGCACAGCTGAACCTCATATAAAACCACATTTAGCTAGTATTTCTTGCGCCGTACGTTTTATTTAAATCGCGTTTTGCGGAAACCACTCTCTTCTTTATGTCACCCCTTCACTGTTACAATATTTTGGTGACGATGCGCCTCTAGGATATTTTTCGATTTGGCTGCAAAAATTGGCTATACAAAAACAAGCAATAAGTTAACACTTTGGGGCAACTTATTGGCAACCCGAATGGGCAGTCAAATGCTCCCGCCCCCTCCCTAGGTAATATATTCGTCACAAACAATCACTACCAGATCTTGAAAGATGGTTAGAACTTTTCACAATTGATGGTCAGTTTTCAATGATATATTTAGTGATTAAGTAATACTTTGAAAACTAGCTATACAAAACTTAGGAGGAAATTACTTCCTGTACATGTCAAAATCAAAAGTCGAAACTACCTAAAAAAGTTGTAGAATCCACATACTACCCCTCCTAAAGCAGAATTTGCCGGCGCATTATGTGTGTCGCATTGTCTGCAACTGAAATTTTTAAGGAATTCAACAATTTAATATTTTATTAAATGAAAAAATTAAAATTTAAATTTTTCAGATTGTGTTTTAGATCTTTACATAAATCTAAGAACTGTCTAAGCTAACGGATTTTTTTATGATCATGTTTTCAAAACTTAACTCATGTGAAAATTTTTTTTACGATACAACTGCATTGGGAAATTTAAATAAGCCTAGTATTTTTTTCGTTTTGTTTCAAGGGCTATTTAATACAGATTTAAGTTCTAAAGTATATACCTCACTAGAAGGAGAAAAGACTTCTCGTAGCATGGCGAAGCCCTGAATGTCCCGACTGCCCTTTAATTGGTTATATGATAGTTTTTGGAGAATTAAATTTTGGCAAAATTTGATTTTGAGGCTGATAATATCAAAATTTATTATTACAGTTTGAGTCGCGTATGGAATTAATAAAACCAATTAGCTGCCTCAATTCAGTTTGGAACTATAACAAGACCAGTTTGGACAAGTTGGTGGCAGTTTAGAATAATGGTTTGCGCATACGGCTGTCAACCATTCGAACAAAAGTGCGAACCACGAGGGACCAGAATTTTTTAAAGTGGTCTGAATAAAAAAACCAAACCGAACATATATGTTTCACACTTTCTTCGAAAGTCGGAACAATAAGCCGTTTAATCAATTTAGAGGAAACAGTCGTTCTTATCCAGAACAGTTCCTGATATCTTATCTCGCAAATACCAGTAAAACACTAGATCTATTGAGACTAGGAGATATAAGAGTAAATTTAAGATCGGTATTAGACGAAAATAAGCCGGAAAAAAGCGTGACGAACAGACGGTGTACATTACCTGAAATTACTCGATGAGTTAGTCAACCCGGACATAAACTCACTACATTGTACCATCAACACGTAAAACAATATTGCTAATTATCACTTTGTTCAAGCGCCCGAGAAAACTTATCAATGCGAATTAAGATTCAAGTTTTGTTCAATTCCTGAAAAATAGATGAGGCTACAGTTGATTTAGTATTGTTTGAAGTATTTGTTGTTGAGCTGCTTTTTAAAAAAGTTTGGTACTTGAGATAATTGTTTGTAAACTGATAGGATTTTGAAAAATTGTCACAATTTGGTTAGTTTTGGATAATCAAGCGGGATAAACTTCTTGCTCTAGGCACGTAAGCGGCACTTTATTCCGGAGAAAAAATCGTTTAAAAAAGATGTGAGGTAAACTATTTGAAACTTTTGTTCTGCTGCGAAAAAATAACTCGCCTTCTTATGTTTTACACAAAGTGTCAGCTAAAAGCTTCAAGAAATTAATTGAAAAAATTAAACTTATGTTTTTTTCTTTGTTAGGTTTTTTCAAACACTATGCTATAGACATAACGACTAGTCGCAGCGTTGAGATCTTTTTTTTGGGAAGTAATATTTTGGTTGTGAAACTTTTTAGAAAATGCACTGAAAGTACTTTAAAAAGAGAAGACGTGGGGAAAAATGATAACGTGATGAGAAACATCCGGACGAAGTCCGTTATTTATGTCTTTACCAAGGCAAGTCAAAACGGATATGTTACAACCATCACAACGCAAATTGGGTATATCCGAGAAGCCGGCACTATTTCTCAAAAAAGATGTCTGACCAGAACAAAAAGAGTATATTTTTTTGAGTTCTGATTTTACTTCAATGAAAGAAGTCTGCGCATTCCGAGGCTAAAATGTGCACTGGATGGGCGCACAATTTTGCGTCTAATTGTTCCTGGATTTCAGAGACAAGTATTTAAACATGTTCCAAAATAAAAGTGGATTTTGGTTGCAAGATTTATGTAGATTCCGTGTACGAATACTTGTAACGTAAAAAATTATCGGTACATTTATTGTGTTGCAGATTCCGCAACAAGCGAATATAGGTAGTTGTTTCGTATTCCGCAGCTGTAAGTGGATTCCGCAAAATGTAATTGGATTCTGTAAATGTAAGAGGCCAAATGTAAAGAGGAATGTATTCTGCTTTTATCATTACGAGGCCAAACTGTGCACTGGATAGGAGCACAATTTTTTGTCTGTATATTCCTGGATTCCAGAGACAAGTCTTAAATATGCTCAAAAATATAAGTGGATTCCACAAACAAAATTTCAGTGGATTCCGCATACATATATCTGTAACGTAAGCTTTGTCGGCCCATTTGTTCTGATGCGGATTCCGCAACAAGCAAATATAGCTAGTTGTTCTGGATTCCGCAACTGTAAGTGGATTCCGCAAAATGTAAGCGCAATCCGCAAATGTAAGAGGAATCTGCAAACTGTAAAGGATTTCACAAATTTGTTTATACTGAACTTGCTTATTCACTTGCGGAATTTAACAGCAAGAACTTAACCATTGTCAGCAAAATTTACGTACAAAGCTTAAAAAATTGTTCAATTAAATCGATGGACGTCACACTTTAGTAGTTGCAAGCAGTTTTTGGGATCATACTTTTGGAAACTCAACACCGAATAATGTCATTGGGTTAATTCGGTAATTGAAAAATTCATTTTTGGTTTGACATATCGCCGAATTAGGTCAGTTTTTGAGATTCAGTATTTGCGATTCAGTATTTGGGATTTTGAATTTAGGATTCAGTATTTTTGCGATAATTGAAATCATGAAGATAGTATTTGGGGTGAGATGACAGAGTACTGAAGAGATATGGCCGAATTAGGTCCGTATTTGTGATTCAGTGTTTGGGATTCAGTTTTTGGAAGCGTAAATTCAATTTATGAAGATATTACCTAGGATGAGATGACAGAATGAAATCATGAGTTAGCTATTCAAATCTTTGGAATATCTGACTCACAATTTTTAAACAAACTTAGAGCTCTGAATGTCTGGTTCTCAAGGATTTGCCTCGTCTCAATTACCTGTTGAATCTTGCTCAAAGCACGAGAGAATATTTTTAATGGAGCAAATAGTGGGATCTAAAATCAAAAAAATTTGTTTTTTATCAAAACAATGTTTTTTTTGCTAAAACCTAACATTTAGAGTATTTTTTTTGCTGTTCGCTGTGGGGTTGGTTCGCTCCAGCTTTTTTAAGCATAGCATTGTGACAAAGCTATTGTTTTTTTCTCAATGAAGTTTATAGGTAATGTCTTGGCATGAAGAGAAAAAATGGTTGGTTTTCTAAAGAAAACAAAAGCTCCATCACCCTGAATGTCGGGAAAACGAGGTCATTTTTGGCCTGTTTTTTAGGAACCTATTCAGAAATTTTTTAACAAGTTTTTGGAGTCAATATGTTACTTATTAGCAAGAAACGATCATTTTAGAGTAGGTCAGAGTTTAAAGTTTGGTGTTTAAAGTTTTCAGTTTTTTGATACGTGGTTGTTTTTTCAAAGTGTCACCAATAATTTTGATAAGTTTATTTATTCGATATTCTTAGTCCTTAAAATATACTTTTTGCGGAGAAAAATTTTCTTTTTTTTTTGCTTATATCAACTAAGCATATAATTGACTTTAGCCATGTACGAAATCGGGACAGTCACATTTATAGTTGAAATGATAGAGACCGGCCAAAAAATAGTCGAAATTTGGAATTTATTCAAAAATTTTATATTGTTTTCAGAATTCATTTCAACCCTTGAAGAAATTGGATTCTTTGATTGGAAGTTTTTAAATTGGTTCTCCAAACGTGTGCACTACTGAATCAGCGTGAGTTTTACACATGAGCTTTCCTGTGTTTTAATATGATGGTCGTTCAACGCGAATACTCTTATTTTTTACTTTGTTCTTCTGCTATATTCGACTCTCTGCTATATTTTTTAGAGTTTTGTGGTTGACGAGCTCTTGCGTCAAGCCTGAGACTTAAGTAAAATTTCCAATGGAAGAGTTCAATAAGCCATTTGGTTTAGCATTTCAAATTTGTTTGTGCATAAAAGTATCTTTTTCTTGATTGTTATATGTCCTTAATTTTTCTGGCTAATGGTAGGACATTTTTTACCTTGTCTGATTTTGAGCTGAACTAGGAGGCATCTGTCATGAAGAAACAGCTACTTGATCAGTTTACTGTTTTGTAAGATTGCTTGTTTCTGTTGAGTTTTTGAATTTAACCGTCTTCTAATTTTTCGTAATAATTTTTTGTTGTTTCAAGTATTTGTTAGGGTCCGTGGGCTTCAATTATCTATTTGAAACTTTTGTTAACTGGGAGTAGATGATCTTTTTAACTAATTTGAGTAATTTAGAATGAAATAAAATTTAACAAAACTTGAAATACAGCAGAATCAAACTTACTGTTCAAATACACGAATATATACACCTGAAAATGTTGCCTTCTCAAAGTATGTTCTGGTTTCGCAATTTGGTAATATTTCATATTGGCTAAACTAAAAACTGATTGTTTTAGTTGAATGGCTTGAAATTATTCGATGAATAAGTTTACTTCCGTTTGTATAGTTGGCAGGAATTGAGATGGCAGGAATTGAGATCGAAGGATTTTGTTCGACATAATTTGGATGGGTTTGTTGGCAGGATTTGAGATTGCAGTTGGGTGTTTGACAGAAGTGAGATCGAGTATTTGGCATCCCAATTGGTAGCTGATCATCGTAGTAATTGAAAGATATAATTTTAAACACAACTGCACACATATATATGTAAACGAAATCCGCAATCAAACTGCGGATTCCACTTACAATTCGCGGATTCCGAATCAATTTGCGGATTCCGCTTAGAGTTGCGAATTTGGCAGCAGCTCAGTTTAACTATACACATGTCTTATTATTTGCTTGTGGATTACACAAACTGTTCAGAATTCCGCAAATACTGTTGCTAATTCCGCAAATTCGCCTATTTTTGGATCGGTTTTGAGCGGTACAGTGTTTAAGGTATTTGTTTCTGGAATCCAAAACAGCAAAGAAGATCAAAGAAAGAAAGCAATGTTGTGGATTCCGCGACAAATTTGATTCGGGCATGTTGTGGAATCCGCTTACAATGCAAGTAATGCACAGTTTGGTCTCGTAATGCAAAAAATTGGACACATTTTATGCAGATTTTGAGATATCTTTTTTTCAATTTTCAAAGAAAATTGATGCCGAATGTGCTCATTTTACTTGCGCTTCAAGTCTAGCAGGCGTTCGAGCAGATATGCTCATAGCACTGCGAACAAAAACGACACAACTTTAATATGGCTTTTAAGCTTTTTTTGGATTTTTTTTTGCAACCTGCTACTCCAGTGTTTCGTATTTACTCAACTAAACCCTATTTCATTATTTGGATTGCGTTTCGATGCTTGTAAAATGGACATCTTTTCAAAATTGCTACCTAAAACATTTTTTTTATAGATACTTTTTGATATTTCAAAATTATGAACGGATCTCTTTGAAACTTACATTTTACATCATGGAACTCTCCTTCAGTGAACTTTCTTGAATTATCTCTCAAATGGAGGTTTTTTTCTTGACGGGAAACTTTGACCTCTAGTTTGTTTTAAACCATCAAAAATGGATTGCAATTTTATGGTGCAGTTTTACGAGACTTCGGGACTTTTTCCGACTCAGATTGCGGACTTTGCGTATTTTGTTGAGACTTTGAGCGACTTTAAACATCGCGCATGTTAGAGTTTTTGGTCGCGCGATGGGCAATTGCGCAATCGTAGCCGGTAGCCGACACAATTCGCCTAACTCGGCCCGGGTAGCTAGCCGCATTGAAAGAGGAAAAAAAATGTTTTAGGGTCCAAAGTGCCAATCGTCTGTGTTGTGGTCGAAGGAGGACCTGGAACAATCGACACTACTCGGAATGCTCTACTGAACGATACTCCATGTATAGTGTTTGACGGGTCAGGGAGGGCGGCTGATGTCTTGGCATTTGCAGTGCAGATATCGAGAAAAGAAAGTTTTAGTAGCTTGGGCTCTGTAATCGCAATGTTCTTAATTTCTAAATCTAAATCTAACGACTTCATTGTCAAGCTGCCTATCAATTTTTTGGTTTCATTGAAAATTGTCAATTACGGTTATTAGTTCATTCGATGGCAAAAACCGGTGACAAAAAGTGAGTTGACAAAATTTTCTATTCGCGAACAAGGAATATGTTATTTAACAAGGCTCAAAAAGACCTTAAAAATGCTTTATTGAATAAAAATGCCATAGATTTCACATTTCCTTGTCTCAATGAAGCTAGGACTAACAAAAAAGAAATGGTTCTTAAACTTCTAAATCTTAAGCAATGTTCTTCAGCTTCTAAATCGCAATGTTCTTAGGCTTCTAAATCTAAATCTAACGACTAAATTGTCAAGCTGCCTATCATTTTATGCTTTCATTGTAACTGTCAATTACGGTTATAAGTTCAGTCGATGGCAAAAACCGGTGACAAAAAATGAGTTGACAAAATTCTCTAATCGAATTCAAGGAATATGTTGTTAAACAAGGCTCAAAAAGACCTTAAAACTACTTTATTGAATGAAATTAACATAGGCTTCTCATTTCCTTGTCTCAATTCAGCTAGGACTAACAAAACACGAATCGCAAATCACTGAGTTCATTTTTGCTTGTAAAAAGAAAAAATTTCTCTGCCAATAAAAATGAAAGAAGTTGCAGAAAACCTCCACAGTCAAACAATCAGCCCAACACTAAAACACACAGTTACAGTTAAACTGCTCGGACCTATGTACATAGTAATAAAAACTAAATCAAAAACAGTTATACTCTAATGAACGAAAATGAACTACTGACTTTCAGCTATTTAAAATAACTCACCCATACGAAGGTCAATTGTAATTCATTGGGAGTTTACTAGTTTCTCAGTTTTTCAAACAAAATTAACGAATATTTGTGCTCGGGGGATTTTTTTTCTGCCGACAAATTTCGATTTTTGAATTAGCCATGTTTGACAAGATTTTTTATTACATTTAAAACGTATTGCTGCTCTAATCCTAAATTTGAAAAATTATTTCACATGTGATCATTCTCGCAAATTATGGGGTGTAGAGATTGCCATTTTGGCCATTTCGGAACAATTAACGCTCGATGTATTATGCGCTATTAACGCGTAAGTGGAGATTTAATACTTCTTAGAAATCGTTCCAAATTAGTTGCAGGAAGCTTATTTGCCATAAGCGAATTGTTAGTAGAAGTCAATTATGTCACCTTGTACTTTATTTGGCGTTTGGGAGGATGAGTTTTACAGCAAAAATTTCGAATTATAAAAAAAAATCGTTTTATTTCATTTCAATCATTTTTTTCAAGTTGTTTTTCATCTTTTTCATTACGGCTTCATAAAACTAGATGGGCAGTCGTAACATTCAGGGCTTTGCCCCAATAATAGTAGTCTTGTAATAGTTTTGTTTCGTGAAAAAATTATTTGACAAGAATGCTTGTTTTCCGACTGCCCTGGAAGGTCTAGGAAGCAGTGTCGCTTCTAAAAAATGATAAACTTTTTGAGAAAAAAGCAAAAGACATTTTTTTGAGTATTTTAAATCATCCCCCACACGCCTGGTTTAACAAATATTGAAATACAAACTGTTAGTTTTCGCTCCTAGTTACGTAGACATTATCGCGAATAGTCTGCTTCAACCAATTTGGAACGATTTCTAAGAGGGATTAAATCTCCGCTTACGCGGTAATGTCGCAAAATATATCGCCCATTCATTATCCCAAGTTGGCTACATTTGCAATCTGTATGCACCTATAACTTTTGCGGAAAAGGATCGCAGATGAAAAATTGTTTAAAATTTGAGCTCAAGACAACAATACCTTTGTGTTGATAAAAAAGAATTCTGACAAAAATAGCTAGTTAAAAAGTCGAAACAATAATCTAAAAAAAATGGATGAAAATGTTTTAGTGAAGTTCGTGTGAAAAAAGTCAAATAGACTGAGAAATTCCACTCAAAGCAAATCATATTTAATTGCTTGTAAATTTTAGGAGAGATATGATCAACCCGAGACTTACTGTACAAGAAGTGTTTAAAATTTTCGGAGTTGTTACTCCCTAATCATTTACTGAACATCCCGTTTTTGACAGTAAACAAAAACTCCCATAATGATTTCTGTAATTTTGGAAAGTAGACAGGAACCCGGTTTCACCTTTATAAACCGAAAAATCTAATCACATAATTCCGTAAACTAAGTCTATTAAAAACATTAATCACACAATTTTCATACATTTTGCTAAAGTGGTGTCATCATTTCTCACAGATATTTTTTCTTGTTTTAGCATAAAATATGGTGTATCGTAGTAAAAAAAAACTCTCAAAAAATTCCTAATCATACAATTTATTTATATGAAAATTGTATGACTAGCATTTTTCGATGGTGACAACAAAAAATATTTTTGAAAGTAATTTTGAAAATGCAACAAAAAAATTGTTTTGTTTTATCAACCGCAATTCGAATTTTGTACCCAAACAAACTGTTTCCAAAAGAAGGTTTTTTGCATGCAAAATTGATTTTTTTCTGTACATAGCGTAGTACTCGATTCACTTATGTTGGATTCTCTAACCTTTTGCTCAACATTTTTTTTCAAAAACGCCTAAAACTCATCATCGTTTAAAGTTCTAGTCGAAAATTCAAAATACGTTACTTTCAGTTTATCGTTTGTGTAAGCTTCTAAATCTGAATCTAGCGACTAAATTGTCAAGCTGCCTATCAATGTTATGTTTCCATTGTAACTACCAATTACGGCTATAAGTTCAGTCGATGGCAAAAACGGGTGACAAAATTCTCTAATCGTTTACAAGGAATATGTTGTTAAACAAGGCTCAAAAAGACCTTAAAACTACTTTATTGAATGAAATCAACAGAGGCTTCACATTTCATTGTCTCAATTTAGCTAGGACTAATAAAAAACGAATCGCAAATCACTGAGTTCATTTTTGCTTGTCAAAAGAAAAAATTTCTCTGCCAATAAAAATGAAAGAAGTTGCAGACACAAAAACCTTCAAGTACAGACACAAAAAATATATAAAAGAAATAACAGTTTAAGAACATAAAAACCTCCACAGTCAAACAATCAGCCCAACACTAAAACACACAGTTACAGTTAAACTGCTCGGACCTATGTACATAGTAATAAAAACTAAATCAAAAACAGTTATACTCTAAAGAACGAAAAAGAACTACCAATTTTTAGCTGCTTAAAATAACTAACAAATACGAAGGTCAATTGTAATTCATTGGGAGTTTACTAGTTTTCTCAGATTTTTGTAAAAGAAATTAACGGAATGTTTGTGCTCGGGGGATTTTTTTATACAGACAAATTTCGACTTTCGAACTAGCCACCTTTGACAAGACTTTTAATTGCATTCAAAACGTATTGCTGTTCTAATCCTAAATTTGAAAAATTATTTCACCGTGATCATTTTTGCAAATTATGGGGGTGTAAAGATTGCCATTTGGGCCATTTCGGGACAATTAACGCTCGATTTATTTTGCGCTATTAACGCGTAAGTGGAGATTTAATACTTCTTAGAAATCGTTCCAAATTGGTTGAAGGAATCTTATTTGCCATAATCGAATGGTTACTAGAAGTCAGTTCTGTCACCTTGTACTTTGTTTGGGATTTCGGGGGATGATTTTTACAAAAAGAATTTTAAATTAAAAAAAAATATGAGTTTTTTTTTCATTTCATTCATATTGTTCATGTTGTTTTTCATCCTTTTCATTACGGCTTCATAAACCTAGATAGGCGGTCGTAGCATTCAAGACTTTGCCCCGATAATAGTAGTCTTGTAATAATTTTGTTCCGAGAAGAAAAATTTGACAAGAATGCTTGTTTTCCGACTGCCCTGGAAGGTCAATGAAGCAGTGTCGCTTTTAAAAAATGATAAACCTTTTGAGAAAAAAGCAAAAAACATTTGTTTTTTTTCTCGAGTATTTTGAATCATCTCCCCACACGCCTGGTGTATCAAATTTTGAAGTACAAACTGATAGATTTCGCTCCTAGCTATGTAGACATTATCGCGAATAGTCTGCTTCAACCAATTTGGAACGATTTCTTAGAGGGATTAAATCTACGCTTACGCGGTAATATCTTGAAATATATCGCCCGTTAATTGTACCATGTTAGCTATATTGGCAATCTGTTTGCCCCTATAACTTTTGGGGAAAAGGCTCGCAGATCAAAATTGTTTTACAATTTGAGCTCAAGACAACAATACCTTTGTGTTGATATAGAAGAGTTCTGTCAAAAAAAAGCTAGTTAAAAAGTCGAAACAATAGACTAAAAAAAACTGATCCAAATGTTTTGGTGAAGTTCTTGTGAAAAAACTCAAAAAGACTAAGAAATTCCACTCAAAGCAAATCATTTTTAATTGCTTGTAAATTTTAGGAGGGATATTATCAACCCGAGATTTACTGTACAAGAAGTGTTTGAAGTTTTTCGGAGTTGTTACTCCCTAATCTTTTGCTAAACATCCCTTGTTTGACAGTAAACAAAAACTCCCATAATGATTTCTGTAATTTTGGAAAGCAAACAGGAACCCGGTTTGACCTTTTATAGACCGAAAAAGCTAATCACAAAATTCCGTAAACTAAGTCTATAAAAAAACATTACTCATTCAATTTTCATACATTTTGCTTAAGTCGTGTCATCATTTTTCAAAGAAATTTTTTCTTGTTTTAGCATAAACTTCGGTGTATCGTACAGAAAAAAATTCCTAATCTTACAATTTCCATATATGAAAAATGTATGACTAGCAATTTTCGATGGTGAGAACAGTAGATAATTTTGAAAATAATTTTGAAATGCAACAAAAAGTTTTGTGTTTTTTCAACCACAATTCGACTTTTGTACCCAAACAAACTGTTTCCAAAAAAAGTTTTTTGCATGCAAATTTAATTTTTTCTGTGCATAACGTAGTACTTGATACAATAATGTTGGATTTTTTAACCTTTTTGCTC